TACTTTTTGTTAATCTGTCGTTGTTTACGGGCCGCGGGATTTCGATAGGCAGACCGTACAGCACTCGCAAGACTGACTTCTATTCTGGGCCATATCACAGCGTCTCTAACCGCATCCCTTGGGCCCCAACCTGGAAGGCGGGCTGCACTAATCGAAGCCAACTTCCTCATACCTCTACGCCATCTCATGGTCTAACCGCCGCGGCGTTTCTTCCAGCCTTGCCCGGCACGTGCCGAGAGCACGGAAAGGTAACCATTTCAAATGGTCACCGGAGAAGCTATATATGCAGTAACAGATGGTTTTATTATCTATTTTTATCAGTTAGACAGGTTTAGAAATATTTGATTTAGCGTTCTGGATAGTATCCCCAAGAATGTGATTTGATGCACTTAATTACGCCAGAATTATTGCAATTACTATTATTCACTTAAGCTCTTTTAATCCTCTTGAAAGCCCGATTGTTCTCAAGCGAACACTATGATTGTATCTTCGACTTATAATGTCTTTAATTGGTACATCGCGCAGTGGACCGAGTTCAGTATGTATGAAAACTCGCACGCGAGCTTATCTCAGCTGACTGGGGTTTGATGTATAAGATAGGGTGGTAGAGATTGAGGTCGCCTCCTAAAGTGGAATGTACATGTGCATCAGCAGGTATTCGAGCCAACACGGGTCGGGATTAATGCAGTGCGTTCACCCACCAACTAAATTCGCTCGGGTCATCCTGACCATGAGACGAGATGTTCGCAAACAAGGTGCAAGGTCGTGGTAGTGGCGCAGTGGTGAAGTCGCTATCACCGGTGTGTTTTGGACCCCATGGTCCGAGGCTCGAGCCCCGCCACCGCCACACAACTTTGGTGGTAGGCGGCATTGCTGTCGTCCGGTTCAATACCACGCCGAACCTAGGGGAGCCTTATGTGGTTCGCTACTCCAAGTCCCAGGGCTTAGGTTACCAGTTTCCATCGCTGAACAGCATGTCCTTGTGACTATGGGGTTCGCCTCGTTTTCTGTTCATCACACTTAGTTGTGTAATAAAAAATACGAAAACAATAGTCATAGGAATTTGGGTGAGAATGAGAATGAACGGAGTACACCGGATCAAAAGAACAATTTTTTTTCGCCTATATGTTTTGATGTTCTCTGGCTATTATTTTTTCTTTTTTGTTCTTTTAGGAAACACAGGAATTCCTCTGGCAACTTCTATTCTGAACCACGTCTCTCGACATCTCTAACAAACGTCAGTTGACTTACCATGGGCCCCAACTTAGAAGGCGAGCTGCACCAGCCGAAGCCAATGGTGAAACTTTTTTTTAACAACGGCAGGGCATGGTGTGGCAATCGCAGCGCTTCTTTCAGCTTTGACCAACATGTACATACAGAGCACGGAGACACGGACGGGAGGGAGACATGGACAAAACAGGACCGAGCTATCTAAGGTGGTCTACAGCGATTTCTTCGTGCAAACGACTGATAGCCAACGCGCAAAGACGGTTGTGGACAGCCTGTCACCCCTGACGCTCATCGTACGAATGGGAAAGGACAACTGCCGATAAACCCCCAGTTCACCGTCAAGCCCCTCGATCTTCAAACCTCTTAAAAGAAACTACATTCCTCTAGATGAAGCTGTTCGATGACAGGCCTTCTATTTCGACCAATTGTCTGTCCTTGGGTGATTTTCGGGTGAGTTTTCAGATATACTGTGTTGCCTTTGGAAATGACTTAGTGGTCAGTGGGCTGCGCGCGACTTAGATCGCAGCCGAGGCGAGTACATGACAGTTACACAGAAACAAGAACACGAAAGGATGTTACTAGAACACACCGGTATCGAGTAGAATGAACGATGGAGTAACAGCAACATCTGGTGGTAAAATACATGGCCCATAAATCATTATATTGTTTACATTGTACTACTGTTCGTCCAGTTCGGTTTTATGCTTGCGAGTAGATATCCATCGACTAGAAGTTCTGGACCATCGGTGCTTACGTATTAAGGTCCTGTGGGATGGAGAGAACGGGTTAGTAATCTGGAGGAAATCGTCGTGTTTCGGATAAATTTTCCAGCGCATCGAATTCAGATTGGTAGGCTTCGCTGGTTAGGTCAAATATTGCGCATATCAATCTGTCGTCTGCCGCGCCGCGCCTTATTCACTATAGGCGATGTGGACCAGAGGGAGCCATGTAGAGGTCAACAGACGACGTGGACAAGATGAGTGAAAAATGCACAGTGATTGGGTAGAGCAGGTTTATATAAAACTCTTGTTTCTCGTTATTGTATCTTTCTGTACCCGCTCCTCTAAATTTCATCCCTACCCTTTTCAGCTCTTGTTGTCCAGTGGTATGTTGAATAAACTCTGGATATTGGGTCCTTGTCTTTGCTATACACACACGCATATATATATATATATATATATATATATATAAGATACGATACGAAAAGCCACTGCGCTGTTTTCGCAGTTGATTACGTAAAATTGGCAACCCCGATGTGAAACTCGGCGAAAACAGACAAGTTGATAAGAAACTTCGAACAGCCGACAGATCATGAACTAGCATAGTCTCTTATTATTTGTCGCCCTTAACCCTAGTACAACCAAGAAAATATTGAGGTTAGGAAAGCGGGACTGAAATTAGCATACAGTAATGAAAAAATAAGAAAACAATTGACCACTCACTGCTGACACACACGGCAATGATCTTCATGGGTAAGGAAACCGTCGCGCAACTGATCGCCGCGAACGGGTCGGGAAGACAGAAAAAGGTTGACTAAGCCGCGCAGCACGGCTATTCGCTGGCGAATGGGAACAAATGGGTAGCTCGCATCTAAAGGGATCAGATCCTCCGGGAAAACAGCAGCAGTCAAGATTGAGTCTAATGCTGCGGACACACCACCGGGCCCTGCAGCTGCAGTGCTCAAAGCTGATAAACTGGACGCTGAGGCCCGGGCAGCGGCTTCCGTTTCCTTCAGGCAACTTAAATAGACGGATAACAAATAGGGCCAATTATAGCGATCCAGTATGTGATAACTTAAGTTGACGGATTCTTTGCAGTCAATCGAATACATCCACGTTCCAGTCGCTTCGTCTTCATGCAAAAGTGCACGTAACAATACCATATGTACCTCTGCCAATAATACAGAATTCTCATTGGCAATAAGAGCAGCCAAAAAGTCTTCAATTTTGAAAGGAGATAAACGCAATAAGTATCCGTAACGAATGAGCACTTCATGAATCGCAAACGCATCCATCAAGTACTCAGGGGGACAAACCAAGTCATTTGCAGAATTGGGAGGATGTAATGGGGGTGAGCAGTATCGCAATCGTATGGGATCCATTGCGAGCATTCGAAGTGTATGAGGATCTGTGGGTACAAGGTTGGTCAGTGTAGAGTCGGAAGCTAATTTTGTGAGACCTGTTCCTAAGCCGGAGGTATCGAGTGTTCTGTCAAAAGGTGAAGGAGGGGGTGGAAGATCATCCAGAACCGATCGGTCGTTTTTTTCATCGACTGTCACAGCGCGAAACACTTCTTCGTCTTGCTCGTCATGCGTGTATAAACTTCGATGATTGTCGAACTCATCCGCATCGGCTCTGGAACCACCAAATGATGAAACGGTACCTTCACCGAATTCACTGAAGCTTTCACTGTCGCTCGCTTCAACAGAAACTGAACGACCTGTATGTGGCGCTGCATGTGTTAATGAGGAGACTCGACCTTTTTTCGCACCCAAAGTTCCCCTTGCTCGTGCAAGTGCTCGTGCCTCGGATATCTGCAAGCAAATGAAGCGAAAATACACTGTCAATGTTCTACTGGTCAAAATAAATATGTATACCATTCCATAAACTTTGGGTTTGTTTTCTCCCTTGCAAATCAAATGAAGCGCACCAGTACGCGTAACTATTATTTCATGCACTGTAATCATCCTTTTGGAGACTTAGTAGTCAATCGCAATCCGTGTTAGAAACCACAAATAAGTTACTGGTTAGTCTCCCTAATGGCCGATCAACTGCTAGCCCTCGGAAGTCGCAATATTGTCGGACTTAGGTATCTCGGGTTGGGACTGATTTTCATCCCTTCCACCTAGTGAAATGCTCTTATACAACGAAGCGTCCTAAATAGCCAATGCTACGGAAGCCCTACTTATTCCGTTCAAGGGGTTTTGCCACATAAGTGGAAAAAACGAGAAGCCAACATCTGGGGCTATAGAAGAATACAACTAATACCGACAGTTCACCTAAGGGAGTTTGAGAAAAATCACAATAACGGATTCTTACACGCTTCCAATTATGTTCTATCTCACTAGCTATCTATCTATATCACCAAGAGAAAAGTTATTGGAGGATTCCTTTGACGGGTTGTTTGGAGATCGGTGGGTTTCTAACACCAAAACTGAAAAAGAGAAGCACGGCAAGGACAGCAGTTCTAACCTTTGAGCTATCACTAAAGCGAGGCAAACATCTGTTACATTGAATAAGGAAATAACCAAGGATGTGAGAACATGCAACATAATTAGGACCCAAACAGTATGCACAAATATGTTTTAGAGTCAGCGAAGCGACGTAAAAATGGAATTTGCCGACGGCCTGATGGAAACTGGCATGAACGCAGAATGGATGACTTGATGACTTAACCACAAAAATCTGCGGTTCAACAGGATATGAATTGCTGGGGATCCTGAGATCATGGTGGTTAGACTCTTAGCGATATGGCTGTCACAAACAGTAACCCTCGTGTATCTACTCAATATTCTTCCAACCGCAGTCTGTATGAGTTCTCTACCTTCTCTTTGACTCTGCACTCAACAGTCCAACCTTCAAGCTGCTCTTTTATCCAAATGGGCGACCTAAAGACTGCAACCAAAACCGGAGCACCTTGTGGGGCTGAAGAAGTAGAGAGAATTCTTCAATGAGTCCGATTTTTGAATGAGTGAAAAATAACTAACGATGATGTACAGAATAAAGAGCTCAACTTGCGAATCACGGTGAATGAAAGTTAAGAGCAAGATGGAATGGAAACTGATCCATAGGTCTGGGTGCTGACACTGTCAATCACAATTAGTCGAAGGTATCTTCTCTGTCATCCGGCTTAATGCTAAACCGATCTTTTTGATTTTAATATTCCAAGTCCCGGGTTAGGTTGCCGGTTCCTGTAAACTAAGACTGAGCCCTTAGGACCAATTGGTTCAGTTTTCCTATTCATCATCGCACTACAGCTTGTAACGGAACTGTACTTTTAGTCTTTATTCCGTGCAGTGGCTTTAGGGTGTGTAGCATACCCGAAAGTTATACTCACCCATGATTTTCCTGTTCTGCATGCATGCTTTTATGCGTTGCAGCGAATATTGATTGCTCAGATCGTTCGCTATTACTCTCTCCACTTTCGACGGCATAAACTACATGAAAAACTGTAACATCCCGATGTTTCTTCCCAAGCTACGTTTCCCACCTCCGGTATAGCTTGGATACTCTGAAAGATACACGAGTTAATTTTACAAATTCGCTCGCTAGTTACAGATATTCTCGAGTGTCGAGCAAGATAAACCACTGCCCTTTTCCGGCAATGCTTTACCCCTGACAAACCGACCGTAATTCTGTTCTGTTCGCTGAGTGGGCAAGAACACGTGACTTTAAAGACTGGACTTGCAATTCGACTTCGATTTGTTCATTACAACCTCCGTTGATGGACAGCAGACGGGCTGACCCTCTCACAAGGATCTATGGATCGCTTATGTTAATCGAAAACACAAACCCCGGGACATGGCGGGGGTAAATATGATACGGAGCTGGACTGTGGTCCAGCTATCACCAGTGAAATAAATTATTTGATATTTAATACTACTAAAATGGGGCTTTTATTAATTCTGAGGAGGAAATGTTTTGCACTCTTTCATCGCGAAGTAAGAAAACTGCATACAAATAAGCCGACCACGAAACAAAGAATCGTCTGCCGATTGGATTGAATATTCAAGGCAAGATTTATGTCCACCACAATAACCAGCTTAGATGCTCAATGTAATCCCAAAATCATGTTGCCATTTCTTACAACTTTATTATGGGTGTGTTAAGGTTTAAAGCTTATATTGTCCTTTTTAATTCTGAATTCTTCACCGAAATGGTGTAAATCCATAACAAAAGTGACTTCGCGAATGGCAAGATTAACTTACTTCCTTCTTGCGACGAGCCTCTTCTTCATCTTCCCGTAGCTTCTCCTCTTCCAGGCGACGAAAGAACTCATCGTCATCAAGTTCATCCTCAAGACCAGCATTTGCCTCATCGGAGTCTGTGTCCTCTAACCATGGTTGACTTGGATCAATTACTTTCTTTTTGGCTCCATTCTTAGAATTTTTTTGCCTACGTTTTCTTTTAGAAGAATCGGAGACACCTTTGGCAAGGAAAAACGATACGGTGAACGAAAATGAGAGCACAAAACAAAAAACAAAACTTTATCACTTCCATTTAAGTAATTTTTGATCAAAAAACAAAAGACAATAACAAACTACTGGAACTCACAGGCATCGGCTGATGACGAAGTCCCAGCCTTATTATTAAGCATCTCCTCATACTGCAATAAATCTGTTTCACCAATAAGGTTCTGTTCATTTTTCGCTTTCCAATCATCCCAGTTAGACAATTCCGTCGGATTTAGGAAAACAATTTTTGTGCGTTTTTTGGGGAGCGCGGCACCACTGGTCGAGGACGACCAATCAAGTCCGCCTATTCCAGCAGGCGGCGCGCTCATAATCAGCCTATTAGACAGAGGCTGATTATCGCTTCAAGGTCACTGGGAGCAAAGGAAAATCTCAGTAGATCACAGAGCGCGTTTTGAGCCCTCAAAATGACCACCTCATTCAAACAAATAAGAAAGTCATCATAGAATAAAATTTCGGGGAAAATCAAGACCTAACTGGAATCTTATAAGACATGAATGGTATTTCGTCAAATGGGCACTTATTGATAATGATATATCTGATTTATTACCGCCCAATCAGGTTAGGTCAGGGGTAACACCAATCGGCATACTAACATCGGTTACTTGTAACCAACACTTGCAGTATTAGAAATAAGTGGATGGAACTCCTTCCAGCAGCATGTGACCTGAA